GTGATGTGGAATTACCAATATCAGTTGATGATTCACCCATAAGGAAGGTGGTAACTGATGTAATAGGGCCAAAGATCAGTGTTTCCAGAATCAGCCCTAGTAACATCAGAGACAGAATGAATAAAATATGTCAAAGAGTAATTTAATTCCACTGGTAGTTTACTTTGATGATTGCTGTAAAGTTCTAGAATTGTCTTCCCCTTTTGGGAGAGAGCAATTCTGGCATGATACTTGTCTAAGAAGTCTTGGCCTCATCTGATGTGTATCTTTCAAAGGGTCTAAAGAAAGGCAATAGATTCAGAGACAGGAACCTCTTGAGGTTCAACCCTACTAGTTGAACTTTTTAGTATTCCAAAGCAGAGCTGCTTTATAGGAATGTGTTTGAACATGGAGAGTGTGACTTTAGTGTTATTTAGGACTGGAAGAGATTCATCCCCAATCTGGAGTAATTTTTCTACAAGCCAATCAAGAGGGAGGGTTGGGAAGAGCCCCTGTGGTCCTTTGGAACCCCGTCATTGAGAAGTGGAAGGAACATAGAAAGGCAGGTTGGAAAACTGAAGGTGCCTACAGCACGTAAATTTGTAACAATCTCTTTTTCAATTTCATGGCTCTTTTCAATAATAGAAGAAACCAGGATAGTATGGGTTTTGTTTGTTGTTGTAAGTCACATCCAACCCTTTTGCGACCCTATGGACTGTAGCCCTCCAGGCTCCACTGTCCGTGGGCCTTCCCAGGCAAGAATGCTGGAGTGGTTTGTCATTTCCTTCTCCAGAGGATCTTCCTGATGCAGGGATAAAATCCATGTCTCCTGCATTGCAGGCTGATTCTTTACTCTGAGCCACCAGGAAAGACTTAGGTTTTGTTTAGGGATCTTCATTTGCTGGAGCTGAAGATTAAGAATGTTGATGTTTTTCCTTTTAGGTGACTCATTCAGAGTGAGAGCAAGCTGGCTTGTCAGATTAACTAAATCAGGAGTGGATGTGGTTTTCCATTCCATCCTGATTCTTTTTACTAGAAGAAAAGGTCTCAGTTTAGCCCATTCATAAATATAGAGTTTAAAGTTACCAGGAGAGAATCAACATCTGAAAGAAGAAAAGAATTTTCTCTAAAAATAATCTGAAGTTGATTGTAATAGTTATGACCAGTTTCATCAGATTTTTGTGTGCAAGCCTGAATTTTGTCCAATCAACAGGCTTAGGTAAATCCCTAGGAATTGCCTGATGAGTCACCGGTGATTGCTTGAGCCTGATCAGATAGTAAAGTAGCAGGCTGCTCTTTCAATTGTAATTCTAGAGACCTTTCAGGATATTCTCAATTAGCAGTTTTCATCCAGTGCTGGTTCTGGCCTTCACCAACAAACTTATGAACTAGCTGAGATAGGTCAGACAAACCAGGTAGATAAGACTATATTAAATTCCTTAGTAATTCTGTGAGGATCTTTTATTACTTTGGGAAAATCTTTGACTATGGTTTCAAGGAAAAAGGAAGTTTGGCAAGAGACTTATTGTGGAGGAATTTAGCATATAGAGAAGGGGTAGGTAATATAAGATCTTCCCTGGAGGTTCAGTGGTAAAGAATTTGGCTGCAATGCAGGAGATCCAGGTTCATTCTCTGGGTCAGGAAGATACCCTGGAGGAGGAAATGGCAACCCCCTCTAGTATTCTTGCCTGGGAAATCCCACGGACAGAGGATCCTATCAGGCTACAGTCCATGGGATTGCAAGAGTTGGACACAACTTAGTGCAACTAAACCACCACCACCACCAGGTTAGAGGGAAGGAGGAAGATGGCACCAGAGGTAGGTCCTGAGACAAAGAAGCCAGGGAAGGAGCATGAGGTTTTAGAAGCATTTTCTCTTTCTTTTTTTTCCCTCAATTCATCTTAAACATCTTATTTTGCAGAGAAGCAATTTTAGGCTCCTGATAACATTTGGAAACCTCAGAATACCAATTAAAATAAGTATTGTATTAAGTTTCTGGAAATGTTGGAACATTGTCCAATTAGGTTTTTAGAAAAATGAGTTTGGGGATTTTAAAAATTCCCTATAATGGCCACTGATATTCTAAATCACCTTTAGCTAGGTTGGTCCATTTGGTTAGAAATATGCCTGAGGAAGGACTATAGTTTTTAAACATAAAATTGGCCAGAGTCTCTGTAAATGGACATGCTCAAAACTTTAGATAGTAGGGATCCCATTTCTCAAAGGTTTCTACCTAGAGTAAAAAGATAATTTTCAAATAGCATAAACATCTCAAGCAACTCAAACAGCCTTCAGGTCTAATACCAGCCAGTTCAGAAGGAACACTCCAGTTCTGAAGACTCCAAGTCAAAGTCTGCTCCGTACAGCTCTAATATAACAGCCCAATTCAAAGGGAGTCAGGCCAAAGGCTTAATACCACAGTGCCAATAAAATAGCCCCTCTTCCAAAAGGAATTGAGTCAAAGACTGAACTGACACAGTTATAATGAAACAGCCCCTGATCCCAGTGGAATGAACCAAAGGCTAGCCAATTCCAGGAGGAACAGCCCCCAACCCCCATTCCAGAAGGAATCCTGCCGAAGATGAGCACAGTTCCAATTTAAAAAGGCCGATTTCAAAAATCAGTTCAGTTCAGTTCAGTTGCTCAGTCGTGTCCGACTCTTTGCAACCCCATGAATCACAGCACGCCAGGCCTCCCTGTCCATCACCAACTCCTGGGGCTTACTCAAACTCATGCCCATCGAGTTGGTGATGCCATCCAGCCATCTCATCCTCTGTCATCCCCTTCTCCTCCTGCCCCCAATCCCTCCCAGCATCAGGGTCTTTTCTGATGAGTCAACTCTTCCCATTAGGTGGCCAAAGTATTGGAGTTTCAGCTTCAGCATCAGTCCTTCCAATGAATACCCAGGACTGATCTCCTTTAGGATGGACTGGTTGGATCTCCTTGCAGTCCAAGGGACTCTCAAGAGTCTTCTCCAACACCACAGTTCAAAAACATCAATTTTTTGGCACACAGCTTTCTTCACTGTCCAACTCTCACATCCATACATGACCACTGGAAAAACCATAGCCTTGACCAGATGGACCTTTGTTGGCAAAGTAACATCTCTGCTTTTTAATATTCTTCCTAGGTTGGTCATAACTTTGCTTCCAAGGAGTAAGCATCTTTTAATTTCATGGCTGCAATCACCATCTGCAGTGATTTTGGATCCCCAAAAACGACACTGTTTCCCCATCTATTTTCCATGAAGTTATGGGACCAGATGCCATGATCTTAGTGTTTTCTGAATGTTAAGCTTTAAGCCAACTTTTCCACTCTCCCCTTTCACTTTCATCAAGAGGCTTCTTAGTTCCTCTTCACTTTCTGCCATAAGGGTGGTGTCATCTGCATATCTGAGGTAATTGATATTTCTCCCAGCAATCTTGATTCCAGCTTGTGCTTCTTCCAGCCCAGCATTTCTCATGATGTACTCTACATATAAGTAAGCAGGCAAATTCAAAAATCAGGCATATGCCAAATAACTCACACACATACAGAACAAAGTCTTAGCCAGAAAATACATAGCCTTAAAACAGATCCCCAGTAAAACCTGGAGGGCTTCAAAATGCAAATAGGGCTTACATCTAGAAGAAAGACTAACTCTTAGATCCCAGGGCTGACAAGAAAAGCAGTGAGCAGCAATGGGTTCAATGTGAGCATCACACTTGTCTACCACCACTAGCCTGGAAATCATCAGGGTCTTTGGATCTCCATGCAGGCCACCAAAATGTTGACTTAAATAGACTGCCAGCAATTTCTCCAGTAGAAATGAGTTTGCTTGGGATCAACAAAGAATTGCAGTTTGGGGTCTACAACTGTGGCGAGCAACATGCCAGTTCCCCCACAGCAAGGAGAGAAGGACTTTTTTTAAAAAGGGAAAAGGAAGGTGGGAGCATATAGTAAACAGAGTCTGTTGGAGGACTTTGGAGAGCTTGAAGTAGAGTGGCTTTTCAGGGACTGAGTTGTGAGTCTCTCATTGGCTGAGCTCTTGCCAGGCAAGGAAAGCTTTTCTTCCTGTTGGGCTCTGCTATTGTCATAGTGCGTGAGAGCTCCTCTTTCTGACTTCCCAACTCTATTTTAATTGAGGTTTCTGTTTATCAGTTTTGCACTATCCATCTCCTTTTTTAAAATTGCTTTTTTTTACTCTGTTTAGATCTTTGTAACCTCTCCCCACCCTCATTCTTTCTATTAATCAACATATATTCCTCTTCATTATTAAATTCACTATGAAACGGAGCTTTGAACATTAGAGAAATATGAATCTCAACTTTTCAAGAATCTTCAAATGTTCTATATTGTTTTCTAACTTCTTATATTATCTCAGTTTAGCATCTTGGGCATTCTAAAATGTAATCTCAAATTATATCAGCTACAGTGATTCTTCAGCCTAATGCTCTCCTAACTGAGCTGTTCCGGCTAGCTAACTACAGTGATTATTAACCATGGCACATCATCAATAAATATGTGCATATACCTATACATACAAAGAGTTGCATATGATTTTATGCACAAGTCTTAGAAAAATACACCTGTTCTGTGTCCTCATATCCTGCCACTCTGCTACACATACCTTAAATTCCAACCATATTAGACCATGAGCAACTTGAGGACTGACAGTTTTTATGCAAAAACACACCCTCATACACCCCATGATACTATCTCAAATATCTCCACCAAGTAAGTCAGCCCCTAGAATGTCTCTCTTGAGGTCTTTCACAATATTTTCATTCTCTCTTTACCTGTTACCTGGATAGCTTGGGAAACATTTGGGAAAGATAAATATTATTTTCCAGATTTTAGTCTCTGATATTCTTCCTAAAGTAAATTCATTTATTCTGGTGGAAAATAATTTTTCCCTAAAGAACTTGGGTTTTACTCATCTTGATGAAAACAGGTTTCAATTTTATTTAAATTTTATATCAGTTTGACTCATGTCAACTCAAAAGGGTGTTCTTTGATGTCTTTTGATTTCTATTTTCCAGGTTTCTTGAGCACAGGGGATCAGGCTGCAAAAGGAAACTATGGACTCCTTGATCTCATACAGGCTTTAAGATGGACTAGTGAGAATATTGGATTCTTTGGTGGTGACCCCTTAAGAATCACTGTTTTTGGATCTGGTGCTGGGGGTTCATGTGTCAATCTGCTGACTTTATCCCATTATTCTGAAGGTAACCGTTGGAGCAATTCAACCAAAGGTATTATGCAGGTTGCAAATTTTGACAATTTTGGTGTCTGCATGCCACCACCATCAGTAGTATGTGATGCTCTGTATATATTTCTCTGTTTAAACTAAATGTTAGAATGAACTCAATAACTGTTTAAAACTTTGTTTCTTCAGCTTCTCTATGCATGTTTAAATTTTTGTCAAACTCTTTGTTTCCTGTGGAGCTTGGTATGGATGCCCTTACAAGCACACTTCAGAATAATTAACATTACAGTAACTTTTCTCTCCTCCAAAGGGTGATTTTGGGGAAAATCAAAGATGTTCACAGTTCTGTTATGTTGATTCAGTAATCAAAAATCAAAGACCTGGTTTTTTTAAAAAAATTATCATTTAACGCAAGGCTTGTATATAATCTATTTTCTAGATGGTAAGCGTTTTAAACCCTTTACTAGTATGAAGATAATAAGGAAGCGGTTGTTAGCTAGTTCATCTGGAAACGTCACTTTCACTTGCCTGAGTAGAGGACAGACGTTTGATTATTTTGCATGCATGATCCAAAATTGTCAAAGCATTAAGGTCACTGGTAGAGCTTTTGATTAAAAAGAAAAATATGTTTGATTTTGTGCTTTTTCTATTTTCAACTCCAAAAATGTTATTTTTTCTCCCTGATGCCTGGAAAAGCAGCCTGGAGCACTAAGGCTGGTTAAATCCATGAGATATTGTTTTTGTCTCCATTTTCTGTCCTTGACATCTTTTTTTCAAGATGCCTGTGCAAGGCTTATCGTGCTGGTCTTTATGAACTCCCATTTTACCATGAGTTTAGTCACCCATTCTTATAGCATTATTAACTTGAAATGTCCACAAGAACAAAAGTGTTTTGTTGGAGAAGTCTGTAAAGTAAATACTTTCTCTCCATTATACATAGATAGGAAATAGATAGGAATAGAGAGGAAAAGAGAGAATACATATCAACATAGACCATCTTATGTTTTCTGCTTTTCCATTGTCAGTTTATAGATATTAAGAAAGTATACACTGTCGGTTTTAAATCATGAAGCTTGTCAGTTTATAAGACTAAATTTTATTATATGAGCACCAGACACAGAATATTTGTTTTTGGCATCAAAGACACATTAATGTCAAATTTCAGAATAACAGTCATTAAATGAGTTCATATATTTGGAGGATCACATATTATTATTGACTTAATTTGTAGACATAGTTTATGTAACTTCTCAGTTGTATTAGTAGAGTTCTGATTCGAGATAGCAAAATGACACATGTGTGAGAACTCTTCCAAAGTATAGAGATTTTGGTCTTCAGTGAAATGACTTATTTTGAAATAATAAAGTTTGTTGTTTTTTTCTTTAACTGAGCAGATTAGAATGTTCTAGCTTGAAGTCTACACTAATGCCAGTACTTATCTAGGATAATATTAGCCAATCTCTTCAGACTTCTTAGGGTCATTTGGTCTCAAAGGCTATTTGCACTGATTTTTTTCTAAAATTTTTTTCTAAATGTAAAGTGAACATGGGTATCAAAGCCATTTTCAGCCAGTATAAAACTAGCATTTTATAAAGAGATGAATCAATTAGTTCATCAGCTAGTGTTGCTATTCATCAATCAATCAATGTGATAAACAGTGGCAAATGGCTGTGCAAACAGGTGAAAACGTAGCATTCCATCACACACACTCTTCAAGGAAATCTATCCATGCCTGGCTAGATAAATGTACTTATGTGTGATCTAGGTCTAAGCTTATTTCTAGTAACAAAGCTGCCTAAATTGACCACGAGATGCTCAGAAGGGGTCTTGGAATCATCAGGCTAATTTTATCTTCATTGTAGACATAGACTTTAAAGTTTGGGAACTTCCCAGAGCTGCAACAATTCTCAGGCCTATAACAATCATGCGTACAAGCACTCTCACTAATAATAAAATATATGGATTTTCCCAGTGCCATCTAGATGGCATATTTCAGACTATGTTAAATGTGATATGTATTTTTTCTGACATATTTAGTTAATATCATTAAGTCCCTAAAATGGGAAAGAATCTTATAGAAGTCTTATTTTAGCTCTAAAGTTTTTAATCAGTGAAATACTTCTCTGAGCCAATATTGACAAACACAAGTTTAAAAAGTTATTCGTACTGTAGGTATTCTCTTTGCTGTAGCAAACTGAAAATATTTTCATAAAGATGTCAGAAATCGAAACAAATATTTATTAGTATTGTTTGACTTTTTGAATATTTTATCTGGAAACATTATTATAGGTATTTTGAATACATATATGTGTTTGGATAAAAAAATGAAAGCTTTGCTTCTAATTTAGTCATTACTTTAGCACCTTTGTGAAAAAGAGTTCTTATACATTAACACATATGAATGATTGAGCATGTGTTTGAATAACTGAACTACAAAGCTGTATTTGGAAATTGATAATAAAGGTAATTTTTAAAATAGAATAGAGAAATTATATTTTTAAAATGAGAATTTTATTAGAAAATTCCCTAATAAGTAAAGTTCATTTATAAATTTGAATGGTATGCAGTTCTTATCAAGCTGCATATGGAACCATGATTTATAATTTTAAATGTAATTAAGTGAAAAGCAATGGACCATGTACTTTTCATCTTTTATGATAAAATATAGCAGTGCACATTCAACAGTAGAAAAAGTTAAATCACTCTCTGCCCCCACTAAACCTTCTGCTGATGGTTTTCTCTTCAACCTAGCGAATACACTGCAAATGTTATACCTTCCTCAGAAAGATGAGTATTCAACATACTGTGTCTGATACAAAGAGCTGGAAAGAGTATGTCTAAAATGATATTCTGTTTTGTGTGCCTTTAGGGCCATCCCCAGGGTATTAGCAAATTCCCAGCCCCAGTAGTTATGTAAACATATCAACAATTGTTTTCAAATAAATTCTGATTAAAACAAACACACAGAGCCATTTTGAAGAAAGACACATGCAGCCAAATTGGAGGAAATATCCTCAAAAGACAATACAAAGTCTGATGTAGAGCTAAAGGGGAGAAAGCCCCATCTGGCTGGCTGTGACAGTAACATAGGTGTGTATATGCTGAGCAAATAATTAATTGAGACTTCTTTTACCACTACTATTTACACATTTTCCATTTCTCCTTGCTTACTGCCTTTTTGAGACAGGGCACAATCTAGATCTCTTTCTTCTCAAAGTAGTTGCTACTGAAAGCAGAAGACTCAAATCCATCTTTCCACTTCATTGTACCCTGGGGATGACTTTGTGTACCTTCTCTTAAGCAAAAATGTCTCTATCTCCCTGTTTCTTGAGTCATATCTGGGTTTTTATATACACATCTCAAATATCAGATTTGATTGTTTTACCACAACATTATTCAAAGGTCATCTGAAATGTTTTGTTTTGTTTTGTTTTTTTCCCATAGGACTCTTTCAACGAGCAATCGCTCAAAGTGGAACAGCCCTTTCCAGCTGGGCTGTTAGTTTCCAACCTGCAAAATATGCTAGAATGTTGGCCACAAAAGTTGGTTGCAATGTTTCAGATACAGTAGAGTTAGTGGAATGCCTGCAGAAGAAGCCTTACAAAGAACTTGTTGACCAAGATATTCAACCAGCACGATACCACATAGCCTTTGGACCTGTGATTGATGGTGATGTGATACCGGATGACCCTCAGATACTGATGGAGCAAGGAGAGTTTCTCAACTATGATATAATGTTAGGAGTTAACCAAGGGGAAGGATTAAAATTTGTTGAAAATATAGTAGATAGTGATGATGGTATATCTGCTAGTGATTTTGACTTTGCTGTTTCCAATTTTGTTGATAACTTATATGGATATCCTGAAGGCAAAGATGTTTTGAGAGAAACCATTAAATTCATGTATACTGACTGGGCTGACCGTCATAACCCTGAAACCAGAAGGAAGACATTATTAGCTTTGTTTACGGACCATCAGTGGGTGGCACCAGCTGTAGCCACAGCAGACCTTCACTCAAATTTTGGTTCACCCACATATTTCTATGCCTTTTACCATCATTGCCAAACAGATCAGGTTCCAGCTTGGGCTGATGCAGCTCATGGAGATGAGGTTCCCTATGTACTAGGAATACCCATGATTGGACCTACAGAGTTATTTCCTTGCAATTTCTCCAAAAATGATGTGATGCTGAGTGCAGTCGTAATGACATACTGGACAAATTTTGCTAAAACTGGGTAGGTACCTAAGGAATGAAGTTTGCTATACTTTAGTAAAAATATCCTCTTAAGCACTTAAAATATACATGTTTTGTGTCCAAATGATTTAATTTAATAGGTTAATGCCAACAATATTTAAGTTCCTTTATTCAAAATTTATATTTGTGGTGTTTCAGAAATCGCTGCTTTATTCTTATTTTGTAAAGCTTATTAAGAAAGTCTTTAATCTTTATTGTATTACTCAATGATTAAATTTATTTTGTTTCTTTTTTTAATTACACAGGATTTATTATTATTATTCAATAATGACAAGTTTCATTTTATAGAGATTTTCAGTTTACAGTACTGTATGCCTTTGATCTTCCCAAGTACTTTGTGAGGAGAGCAGGTCAAATACCATAATCCCATTTTACAGAAAAAGGGCCTCAGGCTGTGAAAGCTTTACATAGATATATTCAAATGTCTAGTATATAGCAGCATTAGAACTCCAATCCTCACCTGCCAATTCCAAATCCCAACTTTTTCCCCACTGCTGTCTCTACTAGCTTGCCTATGAGAAAACTCACTTGTACTTGAATTTTTTTTTTCACTTATTTTTATTAGTTGGAGGGTAATTACTTTACAATATTGTAGTGGTTCTTGTCATACATTGACATGAATCAGCCATGGATTTACATGTATTCCCCATCCCGATCCCCCCTCCCACCATCTTGAGGAAGAATTTTTTAATCTTTGGATGTGTAGCAGTCCATGGGTAGAGAGAACAAGAAAGTGAGATTTACTCAAATTATGTTATCAACCATTTAACAACCTGCCTGGGATGGAATTGCTATTTCTAAATTAACCCCTTATATTAAAACAGTCTAAAGCCTTGCTGAGTTACCTCTTCAATTAAATGTTAAATTAGTGCTATTGTGATTTTTGAAAGAATAAAGCAAATTTCTTTCTCATAATTTCTCTTTTCTAGTGACCCAAATCAACCAGTCCCTCAAGACACAAAATTCATACATACCAAACCCAACCGCTTTGAAGAAGTAGCATGGACCAGATATTCCCAGAAAGACCAACTTTATCTCCATATTGGATTAAAACCAAGAGTTAAAGAACATTACAGAGCCAATAAAGTAAACCTCTGGTTGGAGCTGGTACCTCATCTGCATAATCTCAATGACATTTCTCAGTATACCTCGACAACAACTAAAGTGCCATCAACTGACATCACTTTCAGACCTACGAGAAAAAATTCCATACCTGTCACATCAGCCTTTCCCACTGCCAAGCAGGATGACCCCAAACAACAGCCAAGTCCATTTTCAGTGGATCAAAGGGACTACTCAACAGAGCTGAGCGTCACTATTGCCGTTGGAGCATCACTGCTCTTTCTGAACATCTTGGCCTTTGCAGCCCTGTACTACAAAAAGGATAAGAGGAGACATGATGTTCACAGGAGATGCAGCCCTCAGCGCACCACTACCAATGATCTGACCCACGCACAAGAAGAGGAGATCATGTCCCTCCAAATGAAGCACACTGATTTGGATCATGAATGTGAGTCCATCCATCCACATGAGGTGGTTCTTCGGACCGCCTGCCCCCCAGATTACACATTAGCTATGAGGAGGTCACCTGATGATGTTCCTTTAATGACACCCAACACCATTACAATGATTCCCAACACTATACCAGGGATTCAGCCCTTACACACATTCAATACTTTCACTGGAGGACAGAACAATACTCTGCCCCATCCCCACCCCCACCCCCATTCACATTCAACAACCAGGGTATAGCCAGATAAGAGAAACAAACTATTTTTTTGATGGATTGCAGTAAAAGATTACTGAAGATTCCTTGGCTTTCAACCTACAAGACTCTTACTATTTAAATAAGGAGGAATATTATGTGAATATACATATCAAGAACTTTGGGGGTTTTGGAAAAAAAAAAGAATTGTACATATATACACAAATCAACTTTAAAAGCGAATTTCAATTGCTTGAAGCAATTGTTCTGAATGATACTTTTTCATTCACATTCAAGAATTAATTTTTTGAAGATTTATGTTACATAATGGAATTAGGCATGTGGAACACCAAACAGGAAAGAACTGTGTCTGAAATATAAAATATAAAAATTTTAAAAATAACCATGAATATGCACAAGGGACACACCAATGGAATGTCAGATAATTTTCACCAGTTTTTATTTGGAGCTGTTTTATTGTGTAGACCATATTTACATATTTGGATAAGTATACAAAGCACCAATGCTGTTAATGGCCTTAGCGGAGGCTCATGCTGAAATTTGCCAGTAAAACAAAGAAGTTTAAAGACTGGCAGGTACAACATTATCACATAAGTGCTGTCAGTATAAAGTTGTGGGGATAAAGGAAACTGGATATTTTTAGCACGATGTGCATGATCATTTATATGCTTGGTGGCTGTGCTGCTGATTAAGCCGTAATTAAAATTCTTCTCATCCCATTGAAGTTTTTAATAGAAGCTTCCTCCATCAATTGGCAGAACCTAAAGAAGAATTTAGGGGGCAAAAGTAATTACAATAAAATAATTCACAGTAGTTCTGTTAATAGAAGGAATTAGTTACTAAATGTATCTGAAGAAACTATAGGTATAGTGGTGAATACTCGCTGATATGAATCCCAGAAAAAAAAATTTCCTGTGTTTTTAATGTTCTTTTCATTCCCATCTAAATATTTTCTAGAAATATAACCCTAATTGGACATGTGTTATAGGATCTATAATTTGCTGTGGTTTTTGTTATTCTGTATTTTGTTCCTTTGGGTAAGGTGAAGTGTGTCCAAAGAGTAACTTGCAAGTCTTTATGATCTGAGGATGCCCCAAATTACCAGTCTGATTACAGTTCTCAGTTCATTGATTTACTCATGTTGCATGACAAAATGTTTACTAATAATAATTCAATATAAAGTTATGTCCCTCCTCACGTCACTTATCTTTCTCACTGAGGTTCATTCACTGGAATTTACTCACACAGTCTCAATAGATTGCAACGTAGATAAAGAACCTAGAAAGAGCGTCAACACCTGGAGGACTGTAGTCTTACACGTATGTGTGATTTTAAATGAATATTCTAAGACCACAGAAAACTCTTCATCCCCTTGTTGTTTACCAGTAACAGTATATCACAGACCTTTCCAAATGTTTGTATATGTAATCAGATGTACATTTATATTAAAAAAATTGAGATGGACTTAAAGAGCACATCCTGATAAATACTTTCTCTCTTACCTGTACTATATTTCTATTAGACTAAAGTTATGTGATTTTTTTTTACATTTTTTCAGATGACTAGCAATTTTGATAGTTTGTAAGATAATGCAAAGAACTTTCTCTGACAAACTAACTGCAGTAACAGAAACCTTTCTTTTCAGTTACTCTTTTTCAAGAATGAAAGCTTATTATACAAAAAAAAATTGTATACTACTTGATGGAAACAACTTTGTACATCTTGGCCATGTCACTGGTCATTGCGTGAAATAAAGATAATAATGACTATTAGTCCAATGCTAAGAGACATGATCTTTGCTCATTAAAGAGCTAAAATGTTTATTGCTGTTTTGTCTTTTTTTAAAAAACAAAAAAGAAGAAAAAATATGAAACATGACTGTCTCAGAGAGTCATTTCTCTAGACCAGTCGGGTTTTTGAAGACATGTAGGTAACTTCTACAGAAGACACACTGTGTATTTAAAGTCAAGTCTTATCTAAAATGAAGCTGATGAAACATTAATTTTATTATGAATTTATAAGCCCAGGAACTCATGAAAAGTATTAGCATTGTATTTTTTAATACCTTTTCTTGTGAAAGTGGCGTGGAAATAAAATGTGCCAATTGTTTTCACTTAGAAACACACGTTCCAATTCTGATCATCAAGAAACAGGTCTATTGGAAATAAATGTGCAACATTTATGAAATATAATATCTAGGTTCCCAATATCAGGGTGATTAATTTCGCATAAAGTAGTGGATAGAAAGTTATCCTTCTCAGAAAATTTTAAAGTGTTGAGCAAGACTTTAAGCTAACAATAAAGATAAGAATCTTCTATTTTGAGGAATTTATTTACTTATAATTCCCCCTCCCAATTATTAACTATCAGTAAAATGTAGATGTTGCTCCATAACTTCAAATAAAAATCTGTTGGAAGCAGAAAAAGTCTTCAAAACCCAGAGCGGTCTAAGTTCAGTTTTTGCCTGATGTGATTATGCTTTTAGGCTGTGAACTGCCAACATAAACATAAAGCATTGTTTTGCATCTTAAATATTGTTTAATCAGAAAACTCTCTTTTACTATATTGATTAAACAAAAGATAAAGACAAAAATAGAAATGACAGCAAAGTTAGATATAAATGAAATCTTTCATATGCATTACTTCACTTAGCAAAACCATTCTATTTTAATGATGGCCTTATTTATATCTATCTACTTATCTGTTGCTCTAAACTTATCTGTTACTTGATCTACCTAGCTATCATAACAGACATTTATTTTATACTAATTTAGGGAAATGACCTAGGAAAACAAAGCATAGCCCTATTTTGTTTTTGTTAATGTAGCAAAAACTTTGTGGAAGATAAAGCAGCTCTAAGTTTTATTACTGTTTGAGGTCATGATGATGTCATTGTGAGCGTTAGTTGCTAGTTTTATATAAAACAGCAGCTAGTTTTCTGAATGTAAAATGATGTACCACAATAAATAGAACATTAAGAGCTGTTTTTAAAGCTGAAATGAATTTTATGCAATAAGATTTTGAATAATGTTATTAGATTTTACCCAAATGTTTTAAATATATTTATTTAGATGATGGTTTTCTTTAGAAAACAAGTCACAAAATTAAAATAGTATTTTTGTCATCACATATTAATTCAGATTTCCCTGCCTCTGCTGATACTGAAAATAGCCAAGGCTGCTTACAATTTATACAAACATTAAGCCAAAATTAATTTTATTTCATTGTCTTCAGTTCAGTTCAGTTCAGTCACTCAATCATGTCCAACTCTTTGTGACCCCATGGACTACAGCACTCTAGGCTTCCCTGTCCATCACCAGCTCCCGGAGCTTGCTCAAACTCATGTCCATCGAGTGGGTGATGCCATCCAACCATCTAATCCTCTGTTGTCTCCTTCTCCTCCCACTTTCAATCTTTCCCAGCATCAGTGAGTCAGTTCTTCGCATCAGATAGCCAAAGTATTGGAGTTTCAGCTTCAGCATCAGTCCTTCCAATGAACATTCAGGACTGATTTCCTTTAGGATGGACTCGTTGGATCTCCTTGCATCCAAGGGACTCTCGAGTCTTCTCCAACAACACAGTTCAAAAACATCAGTTCTTTGGTGCTCAGTATTCTTTATAGTCCAACTCTCACATCCATACATGACTACTGGAAAAACCATAGCTTTGACTATATGGACCTTTGTTAGCAAAATGATGGCTTAGCTTTTGAATATGCTACTAAGTTGGTCATAGCTTTTCTTCCAAGGAGCAAGTGTCTTTTAATTTCATGGCTGCAGTCACCATCTGCAGTGATTTTGGAGCCCAAATAGTAAAGTCTGTCACTGTTTCCATTGTTTGCCCATCTATTTGCCATGAAGTGATGGGACTGGATGCCATGATCTTAGTTTTCTGAATGTTGAGTTTAAAGCCAACTTTTTCCCTCTCCTCTTTCACTTTCATCAAGAGGCTCTTTAGTTCTTTGGTTTCTGCCATAAGGGTGGTGTCATCTGCATATCTGAGTTTATGAATATTTCTCCCAGCAATCTTGATTCCAGCTTGTGCTTCATCCAGCCTGGCATATCACATGATGTACTCTGCATATAGGTTAAATAACAAGGTGACAATATACAGTCTTGATGTACTCCTTTCCCTATTTGGAACCAGTCTACTGTTCCGTGTCCACTGTTGTTTCTTAACCTGCATACAGATTTCTCAGGAGGCAGGTAAGGTGGTCTGGCATTCCCATCTCTTTAAGAATTTTCCAGTTTGTTGTGATCCACACAAAGGCTTTGGCATAGTCAATAAAGCAGAAGTATATGTTTTTCTGGAACTCTCTTGCCTTTTTGGTAATCCAGCTGATGTTGGCAATTTGATCTCTGGTTTCTCTGCCTTTTCTAAATCCAGTTTGAACATCTGGAAGTTCATGGTTCACGTACTGTTGAAGCCTGGCTTGGAGAATTTTGAGCATTACTTTGCTAGTGTGTGAGATGAGTGCAATTGTGCAGTAGTTTGAACAGTCTTTGTCATTGTCCTTCTTTTGGATTGAAATGAAAACTGACCTTTTCCAGTCCTGTGGCCACTGCTGAGTTTTCCAAATTTGCTGGCCTGTTGAGTGCAGCACTTTCATAGCATCATCTTATAGGATTTGAAATAGCTCAACTGGAATTTCATCACCTCCACTAGCTTTGCTCATAGTCTTGACTTTGTATTCTAAGATGTCTGGCTCTCAGTGAGTGATCACACCATTGTGGTTATCTGAGTCATGAAGATCTCTTTTGTACAGTTCTTCTGTGTATTCTTGCCACCTCTTCTTAATATCTTCTACTTCTGTTAGGTCCATACCATTTCTGTCCTTTATCAAGCCCATCTTTGCATGAAATGTTTCCCTTGGTATCTCTAATTTTCTTGAAGAGATCTCTAGTCTTTCCCATTCTGTTCTTTTCCTCTATTTCTTTGCATTGATCACTGAGGAAGGCTTTATTTTCTCTCCTTGCTATTCTTTGGAACTCTGCATTCAAATGGGAATATCTTTCCTTTTCTCCTT